ACACTTTCCATGCTTTTCCTATCATCATCTTTTTAAAATCTATCCTCCTCTAGATTTGCTGAGCAATTCCCTTATGAATGTTGAGATTTCTTTTTGCACCTGAGAGATTATTTGTGATCTGATTTCCTCTCTAGTCTCATAGATTTGTTTCTTTACCTTGGTTGTTATCATTTGAGAAATTTCAGCTGTGTGTCTTCCATTTTCCTCTATCTCGTTGTCTCCTGGAGTTATTCTGCATGGGCTGGAGGTCTGAGACTGCATTTTGCTTCTGCATCTTGTCATTTTTTTATTTCAAAAAGTTTTATTTTGTTTTCTGTGCTGATCCTTGTAAGTTTTTGTAGTAGATAGCTATATCACTAGTTTCAAGTCCTCTCTAGCAAAAGTCTGTTCCTCAGGGATGTCTTCTGGGTGTAGGAGGCTTGTGTCTGTTCCAAGATCCGACCTTTCCAGTTAATTAAGAATGAGATGTTGATATCTGTTTGGCTCAGTCCCTGATTCTTTGGTGCTGGGCTGTGGTGAAGTCATTACCCCAGAGCTTCCTTAGTCATAGGAGCAGTGAAGGGCGCAGTAGCTCTCTGGGCCTTCCAGTGTGGTTCACCTAGTGATAGGAGGGATCACCCTCCTCTGTGCCATTCTCCTGGGTTCCCTTGGGTTCCTACATATATTTTCCCATGCTGTGTCAACTTCCCCTCACAATAGTGAAATACCTTAGGTAGTTCACTTATAAAGAAAAAAGGCTTAGAACAATCAAATCCAAAGCTTCAGAGTCCAAGGGCCCCAGGGCTGGTTCCAGAAGTGGACAGCAGGGCCTGGGACTGTCAGGCAATGTCTGAGCCCCAGGTAGGGCCGAGCTGTCCTAAAGCAGCTGGGCAGGTCTGCCATGGGCTCCCGAGGGCAGCGGGGCCTCTGGGCCAGGCCTGGGGTGCTGCCATGCAACCATGAGTGACTCTGGGAGCCCCACACTAGAAAAGAATTTCTAAGATAATCACATAATTGTCTTCACTTTCTGGCAGCACCCAGTCCACCTCTTTGAACCTGCCAAAATGCACGTGATATAGCCTAATCTTATATGTTCTTGCTGATCTCTTTTCCCCTGGAGCACTCATGACCTTGCAGTGGGTGTTTCCTTTTGTTGTGACAAGTGAATTAGGCACAGTTTGTTTGGCTACATGAGTGCTTCTGTTGGTCTCTGGCTGTGGGCATGGATATGGAGGAGATGGGATGTTGCCCCAAGCCGACTGTTGTCTGGGAGGTTGGGCTATTGAATGTTGGTTGAATGAAATCGAATTCACAGTGAGTCCATCAAAAGCTTGGCAAAGGCAGAGAGAATGAGGAGGTCCATTCTTATTGTCTCCTTCTCTTGGCCCCAAAAGCCCTGCCTACCAGAAACTCCAGATAGTTGCCAACAAGGCTCCTAGTATTAAAAAGAAGCCTTATGTCCTTTGCTTTCAGCCTAATAGAAGGATATTTGCCTAGAAAGATCTGGTCTCAGCCCTTCCTTTCATCCTTTCTTTTCATCCATGGAACAGAAATGCTGAATCTGGAGCAAGAATTATCCTCATGGGAATGTTTCAGGGGCTGGTTTATGTTCTCAGGGCATGGAGTGTGGTTACTGGAAGGGCTCCAAACCAGGTCCTACCGCTTCACAGCCCTACAGGAGGCTGATGGAAACAAGGAAGGAGTTCAAGAGCAGGAGATAAGAAGAAAATTGATTTAGACCAGATGGCCATTAGTCTTCTCAGTACAGATAGATGTATCTCTGGCCCTCTCAGTGCCTGCTGCCTCACCCCTCTTCTTCACATGCATGTGACTCTCTTATGAGCAGCTGTCTTGGTTCTATAAGTAACTGGGCTCCTCATATAACTATGATTTGAAAGAATAGAAATTTGTGTGTCCCATCAATTCATTCATCTGCCAGAATACAAGCTACTCCATCTTTCTTTCTAATTAGCCCAAGAGTGTGGTTCTCATGCTCCTGGTACAAGATGATGGATAGAATTCCAGCCATTGTATTACATCCAATGCCAAAGGATGGGGTAGACAAGGGTGGAAGAGAAGGAGCCAAGGAATGCTACTCTCTTTTATGGAGAATTTCTGACAAGTATAACATGATACTTCAGTTACAGTGGCTGGAACTTAATTACTCAAGCATGCCTAGCTTCAAGGAATGCAGAGAAATGTAATCTTTCTTCTAGGTGGCCATATAAACTTTTATGATGCATGGGAGAAGAGAAGCGTGGATCCTGACACAGCCATCAACCTGCTCAAGATACAGATTTCTGTGGGGCGCCACCCATGCTCCAGTGCTTACAGCTTTTATTATACCATTGGCCAAGAATACCTAACAGAGCAAGGGGATGACCCAAGTTAGGCCAACCAGATTCTCCTGCAGGGCCTTAGGTAATCAGCAAGTGACCCAAGTTGAAAAATGACAGGATCAACATTGTTCCTGACACTAGAGTCCTGAAGAAACTCTCCATTGCCTCCTGCTCACAGCATCCTTGGAGCTACTCTCTTTACTGAGTTTTCCAAAGCCTATCTTGCAATTCATCCTTTAATTCTGTGAGTTGCCCCATATCCTTCCAATTAATTCCTTTTTTTCTTGCTTAAGTTATACTCAAATTCACTTGTTGCTTCGGACTGGAAAATTCTAACTTATACTACTTTGTTATTCCATTTGCCATTCCATTTATAAGTCTATGTCTTGAACTAGACAAATCTTCAAAGAACAGTCATTTATCTCAGTGCACCATCCCACAGATTAAGAACTCAGTAAATATTTGCTGAATAAATGAATGAGAAATTCCAGGTGGTTTTATGAGTACATATTGGGAACCTGAGAAAGATAACCACATTTTTTTTTGCTTTATTCTCCCCAGTGGAACATGCCATTGGTAAGACTTGTGTAGTGATGGTGAAGAAAACAATCCATGAACCCTTACCTCATCTCTATCTCTGAACTGCCAAACAGAAGGCTCTGAATGAGTTTTCTTGGAAAGCAAAATCTACTATCAAAATTATAACTACCATTGGCTGTCTGGTCATTGCAGAACAGTGCTTTTTAAAAAATATGTCCACCAATATAATGTCAAATTCATATGCCACGAATTTTCCAGTTACTTTCTTTATCTCCCTCACTAGATTCAGATTCATCTATTTGCCCCAAGTAATTGATCACCAACAGGGATCTGGGAAGCAGGACACCATTTCTTTGCTCACCATTTCTGATGGACCAGCTGCAATTGTACCGCATCATTCTCAGCCTTGCTGTAGTTAAGTGGAGCAAGAGGGCACCTGACCCAAGGTACATCAGTCAGATCTCTCTCCCAGGGAACTGTAATTGCAACTGGTAGATGCTGGGTTCATTCTCAGCTGCTCATAGGGATGGGGAGTATACACATTATATTTGAGGCTATGTGAATGGATACCTGGCATCTACTGTATAAAAACATGAAGAAAATCCTTCTGTAGAAAAGGAAGGAAAAAGAGGATGCAGAGAGGGAGCAAAAAGAAAAATCCCGAGGTCCTGGAGACAGAAAGCCCAGCAAGTCCTATCCTCCTTCTTGGTGGCTTTGTAGGTGACATTCTGGTCTCCTCCATGGGCCAGTGGAATTCTTTGCCCTTGAGTTGATTCAGGAAGATACCTATGAATATATGTACTAAGTCCTCTTTTATTTTCTTAGCCACTCTGACATGGGTACTTACAACCAAAAGTCTAACAAAGACACCTGTCCTTAGTCAGGCTTCACCCTCCCTATAGGAGACTCTCATCTCTATTTTCTTACTGATTTCCCTGCCTCCAATATGACCAGGCTCTACCCAATCCACCTTTTACACAGGTTTTCAGGCAAACCTCACATCACTAGTGTCCCTGAGAGCAGAAAAGAGGTGACATAGCAGGCCTGTAACTGCTGTTCCAAAGAAAATCTGATTGCAAGTTAGTCCTTGGCCAGAGCCTGGGAACTTAGATTACAGAAGGATATTCATCATGACTGATAAGAGTGGCCCACCTTGCCTAAACTGTTGTGAAAACAGCATGGTTTATGCTGAACACCTGCTTTGTTTCTGGGAGTCCGGAGTTTCGGTGTTAGATCAAGGTTGTCAATAAAATCCCTGGGCACTGAGCACCTAACAAGCTCCCTACATAGGTGATATTTCTCATATGCTATCACAGCTTTTTGTGAACCTTGTACCTAGTCTCCCCTGGATTTCACCCCTATGCCTTTTTCCTTGGCTAATCTTTCTCTTAATTGTTCTACTGTGATAAATCCTAGCTATGAGTGTCATTACATATGGAGTCCTTTGAGTTCCTCTAGCAAGTCCTCAAATATAAATCTTAGCGATTTCAGAGATGCCCTGTTAAAACACTGACACGTGTCTTTCCATGATAAGGCCTATATCTTCGTCCAACATCCAGACGCTGTGAACTGGCTCTGACTGATTACTCACCCTCACCTCTCCTGTTCTCCACCCACCACCCCATGTCCTGACTACCATCCTGCTTCTATCAATAACCACTGAAGACACCTCACCAGTGCCCATCTCAAGGGCCCTCCTGGAGAATTCCCCCTACCAGGACCCAGATATTCTCATCTCATGTTCTGCCCCATCCTATTTGGCTTGTCCCTCCCACACTTCCCTGGGGTTCTAGCAGTTCTGCTATGCCTATGTCCCAACAAGGTGGTGAGTTCTAAAAGTTAGGAATTGACCCATTCATTTGTGTTTGCATCCCAGGGACCAAAACAGGCCCAGCACTCTATGAGGTATATTGAGTTTATCCTCCCTGTACAAGTGTCTTTTTCCTATGAAAACCTAGAAAACCAACCCCTACCTAAAGATGTGTGGCCTGGTCCACCTATAGTCATTTTACAAAGATGCCCAACCTCCCTGACTAGGCTGAGATTGAAATTCAGACATATATTATGGGGAACTGGAACTGGGGACCAATGTGTGAGGTCCCCTGATCTTCATGAAATTCTCAGAGAAAGGAAGCCACCTACCAAGATTTCACAGCTGGGTAGTGGCAGAGCTAGGGCTTAATCTCAGAAAAGTCCAGTCCTGAAGTCTACCTTGCAAATTCTGCTTCTAGTCATTGCTTCTTCCTGCAAACCTGGCCTAGAAAGCCATGCTGTGAGCTCAGGTGTAGGCCTGGAGCTGTGCCTCTCTTATTTGTGACCTCACCAAGGGCCAGGATGCAAGCTTCCTCCTGCACAATCCAGTGAGGGCAGAGCAGTCTGATAACACTTTCCGGGGCCCTGAAGGCCTCTCTGAATTCCCTCCTCCCGCGTGAGTCTGCCCAGAGCAGTCTGAAGGCTCTGTTCTCCCAGGGATGCTCTGACTTCCTCTCAGCTTCGGGGATTTCACACCAATTGACTCCACTGGGAAATGGAGAGCTTTGGTCTCCTTCACTGCAAGCCTCAGGGTCTTGCCACCCCAGAAAGCTCCAGGTTTCCTTTCGGCTGAATCCTTTTGACATTTTCAATGGTAAAATAAATTTGATTTGCAGAAGCCATGAAGGAACTGAGGCGATATGATTTCCAAAATGCACTGTGTTATTGGATATGATAAAAGACTGAATGAGTCAGTAAATGTAGCAGTTTAGAAACTGTTACAAAAAAATCAATAGCCGTGTTATCTGGTGAGGAGGAGGAGGGGGCTGCAGTGGGTAGCACAGGGAAGGGAGGGTTCATGGCTAAACTAATGGCACACACCCAGCCTGTATCCTCAGCACCATGCTCTGTCATTGACACATACAAATGCATCGATTTACACTCCACACTTCTGCATGCATAAACAGGCACAGATACCTTCATAGAAATGCACAGACATATACACAAATGTGCACCACCTGGGTCCGCCCACTAACAATAATAATAACCAGCACCAGTCATTAAACTGCAAAAAATGAGGCAGACACTGTCATTGCATATTTGTATCTCAATCACCATCTGATTCACTTTCACAACTATACAAGGCAAGCAGATTATTATTCCCGCTTTACTGATGAAGAAGCAGGCATGGAGTTCTTAAGTAGCTTGTCTAATTCTAGCTCAGCTAGAAATCAGGAAAGCCAGGGTTAGAACCAAGAAGGGGTTCAGCAGCTTGTTCTCTTTTAAATTTGTTGATCACATTCATTAACTTTTTAAAAATTTCATTGAGATGTAATTGTCATAGGTTAAACATTTAAGGTGGACACTTTAATGAGTTTTGCTATGTGTATGTGCCCATAGTACCATCACCACAATCAAGATCATGAACACACCTTGCATCCCCAAAGTTTCCTGGGAAGTCCAGCAATCTCTCCAGTCTATAGCATCAAGCATCTACTGTCCTGCTTTTTTCACTCTGGGTTGATTTTATTTGTCTAGAATTTTATGTAAATGGAGTTAGATGGCATGTTCTGTCTCACACCCACAAAATCAATGTTCATGATGATTACATGCCAGGGCCTTTCCACAAAGACAAGACAGACATATGTGGAAAGACTTGCTCTTGCATGCATGATGTCACAGGTCCTTACCCCTCCATACTCACCCAGTGACCCCACATGTACCCTCACACCAATTTTTTCACTGCCTTCCCATGTTCAAAGAAGCCCATGAACTCCCTATCTCCATTTTTATCTCTTAAACCACACTGCTTCTTCAGAATAACTTTACCTCATTAGGCAGTAAAATGGACTTCTAACAGCTTTCCAGTAAAGCAGTATGGCTCCTTTCTTCTTTCAAAGTCCACATGACAGATGAATGTGTACCCATGATCTTTAACACAGACCCTGGGTAAATCTTTTTACTTATTCAGTGACTATGTATGAAGTGCCCACTATCCTAAGAACTACATAGTGATGACCAATAGTCACAGTTCCTAACCCTGTGGAACTGAATAGCCTCCCAAGCCACATGGCCACCCTGTGCTAAGGGACTGGCCAAAGCAGGAAACCCTGGGGATCTATCCCGCTAGGCAAAGAGCCATGGGACACAGCCAACATTGAGAAAGCAGGAGAAGAAGGAAAAAGATAAGGAAATGAGTAGAGTAACAGGGAGGGAGAGGGGCCACAGACCAAGTTCAGAGAGGTGTGGCTGGCTAGGAAAGGAGGGTCTTACTTCAAGAATGAACATTAAAAGATGGTCCCAAAAGGATGGATGGAGGCAGTGGTGTGGGGAAGGGCTGAGTGAGCTCCATTGTTAGGAGCAGGGATCCAAGTGCTCAGGCCTGGACTAAGCCAGAGATGGTGGTTGATCATCAGCCTTGATGAGATAGGACAAGGGGCTGTATTACCTACAGCCATAGTCCAGTTACTGGACAGGCAGTACCTTCCAAAAACTCACTTCCTGCATGTCAATATGATTCACATGAGAATCATCATGAAAGTTCAAGTGACTGCTAAGATCTAGATTCCACTCAGAGAATATGATTTAATTGTTTGAGTACTTATGTGACTGCACATATAAAGTTTTTAACATTTTCCAGGTGATTATCTAATATGCAGCAAAGTTTGAAAACTACTTCACACAATTTACTTCCAATAATTTGTCATTTACTTCCAGGCTTAGAATACCTTTCACCTCAAATTACCCTAGCATGGTAGTCAGCTTGCCATCACTATGACAAGTTTCTGAGACAATTAACTTAATGAGAGGAAAGGTTTACTTTGGCTCACAGTTTCAGGGGTTTCAGTCAATGGTCAGTGGGAGCCATTGTTTTTGGACCTGTGGCAAAGCAGAACATTATGGCCAAGTTGTGGCAGAGCAAAGCCACTCACCTCAAGTCATCCTGGAAGCCAAAAAAGAGAAAGAGGCCAGAGTTCTAGTATCCCCCTGAAGGATGCACTTCCAATGACCTAACTTACTTCCAATAGACCTTATTTTCTAAAGGTTCTACTACCTCCCAATAGTGCTATAAGTGGGGGATCAAACCTTCAACACAAGAACCTTTGGGGGAGTAAAGCAAACTACAGCCTTCAGTGTAAGGAAAGACCAAAGGGCCCTGGAAATGCAGCTAGGTAGAAGACTGCAATCATATTTCCTGCAGATACCCTAACAGGAATTTAATGAGATACCCTATGTTAATTAGATGTCAATTAATTATTAGAAGAGGACAGATAATTACATAAGCAATAAATCACATTGTCATGCAAGTAACTAAAATTGGTACAAGTATTAGGAAATATTCTTCATATCAATATCAGGCAGTTAAAGCCTTGTAGGTTTTACTAGTAATTTAATATCAAGATAATTAGATATCAATTAGGCACACTGAATATTATTTATGTTGATCATTATTTTTGAATCTGCTTTATTAATCTGCATTGTTTTGGATCTGTAGTGCCCCTTCCTTTGCTGGTAATGGCTATTGTTTATTTGGGATGATACATCTAATGCATTGACAATTATTAGGTGGGATGAAATCAGAAATATGAATTGTCACTGAACATGGAGAATGGTGAGTTTATTTAAATTTTACACACGGGTAGCAGAAGTCTAGTCCAATACATCACCTCGATTAAGCTGAGGTATTGATGAACTGCTGCAAAATACTTTTTGCTGTAATTATATTTTACATTTAATTAATTGAGCTACTTTATAATTACCTCAATGCCAACTCATATGAACCAGATTACTTTAATCACATCTAACCTCAACTCCCTCTTTTCGATGTGTGGAAATTATGATGGAGCGGGAGGCAGCCATGAGTCCCACATGGAGAAAAGAATCATTGATTCTGGCCATGAAGGTTTGATGAGTGTCAATCTGAATCACATTTATGTGACTGTATGAAGGCAGAGAAGGCAGGGCCTGAACAGGCTTAAAGGAGAATTTAACACAGAAGTAAAAGATATAGGCAGGAGAATGGCTATGATTCATGAAATGGACTTGTTCCACTGAAAACAAATCAATTTAATACATTTTGAAAACTGATAAAAACATTAAAGTGGAAGACATGCAAGGCAGACCTGAAGGGTCATTTGATGGAGTGGTTAATGATTTGTGCAGGTAAACTGAGGTTTATGTAGCTGAGTTCCTGCTAGCTGGGTTCATTGTATATGGTCTTCTAGAGGAACAAATTCAGTAGAAGACAGATAGATAGATTGATAGATATAAATATAGATATACAGATATATAGAGATATAGATATATAATGAAAGGGGTTTATCAGATAGGCTTACAGGATCAGAGACAGGGTAGTCCACAATGTCCATAGACACTCTGGAGAACCAGGAGATCCGGTGGCTGCTCAGTCCAAGAAGCTGGAAGCTCCAGAACAAGAGTGATGGAGGACTCAGCTCCAGTCTGAGACTGAGGGTCTGGAAGCCCCTTGGAGAGCCCCTGCTATGAATGCATGTTGAAAGGCTGAAGAAGATGGGATCTGATGTCCACCAGTGATGATAGTAGCAAAAAATGCACCTGCTTAAGCAGAATGGAGCTTTTCAAAGCAGGCTGACTTGCACCTTCTTCCCCTCTTTATTCTACCCAGGCTGCAAGTCTATTGGATAGTGCCACCCACAATCAGGGCAGGTCCTCCCCCTTACTTTGCTGGCCTGCGTGCCAATCACTCCCGCAGATGCACTCAGAAGTATGTCTTACTAATTTGCTAGGTGTCAATGCAGGCAAGTTGACCATCAAGATAAACCATCACACGGAGATTCTGTACTTAAGGTGACTGAGATGTCTTGTAGGGAGAGGTCCTGTTTTCTGCCAGTAAGGCACTAAGATTTACAAGCATTTAGTATGCTAAGCAGGGCACTTACATTTCCTCCCAAGAATCTTAATGTTCATCTTTAGGGAGTACACTCTTCATTTGTTTTCAGAAAATCACCATAACATGCTTTTTAGTAACACAAATACTCACCGGTTGTTCTTGGAGAAAACCATGAAATCACCATTAACCTGAATACAAATCTTCTAAACTCAGACTTTAAAAGTCCTGTTTGGCAGTTCAAATTGGACGAAGGTTGCCACCAGTCATGTTGCTTTGAGACTTTCTTGTTCCCTCTCCCCACTCGAGAAAGGTCACAGGACATGTAAGGTGAAAGCTATAAAGAAATACTTCTTGCTTCTGCATGAATTGTGATGTTAACTGGTGCATGTCATGGGGGAAATATGAGTCCTTTCCTGGACAGTTTTTTCTGAGAGAGAAGAACCAACCCCAGAGAAAGCAGGCTGATCTTATACACCTCTTCTCTTGCTAGAAAAAAGATCTAGCTGGAATCATTAGCTACTGAAGATTGAGAAGTCTGAATCCGCTGTCACCACATGCCTATGGAGAGAGGCTTCCCTAGAAGGGAGTGGGTATTCCCAGTATCAGTCACATTGGGAAATGACTGGTGCCAGGGAAGGAAGTGAGCAATGGGAAAGTGAACCATAGACAGGGGTGGGAATGGTCCAGGCTTTCTCTGAGCTAAGCTGGTCCTTGTCATGTGGACACACATGGGAATGAACTAGCTGATTGCTGGGGTTCCCAGGGAGAGGTCTAGGCCTTTTTCTGCATGCAGCCATTTCTAAAGCAGTTCCAAGTTCCTCCTTATAAATTCTTCCCTTCTATCAAAACAGAACATTTAGGAAAGTGTTATCTGAACTTTCTCCAGGTGAAACTGTAGAGAATTAAGAACCAGACCTGTTTCGGTTTGGGGTGAGGGATGAAGGAATCACTGCTAGGAAAAGAGTGTCCAATGACACCAAAGTGTCCCATAAGCCACTATGGACAAGAAGGGACACCTGTGCAAAGTGCTTGGAGCAGAGCCTAAGGAACCGGTTGTTGAAGACGCATGAAGTGGCATCCCAGGGTCTCCCAGATCCAGGAGGAATTTCAGTGACTACAGGTATTCAGTCAATGGTAACTGGGCATTAATCAAAGCATAACTTTTACTGTTATCAAGACCATGAGGTACCTTGGCACAGGTTACTTCACAACAACCATATAAAATCAGCTATTGTTATCTGAAACTGAGACTCAGAGGCGTAATTCAACTTGTTCAAGTGCCCTAACCAAAAGAGGAAACACCAGGACATGAGTCTGTATTGCAAAACTCACACCCCACCCTCTTTGCAGTGTCCCATGGTGCTTTGCTACCTGCTGGAGTAACATCTGCCATGGAAGAGAAATCACTGTCAGAAGACGGGTTGGAAGAAATGCACAGGGGGTGGAACAGAACTGAGGAATTAAGAGGAGGATGACGAGCAGGCAGAAATCAACTCCAAGCCAAGTGGAATATGATTAAGGAAGGGAGGCTAAGGGATGGCTTTGGGATTCTAAGGAGAAGCAGGGAAGGTTAGGACCTAAACCAGAGGTCCTAGGGGTTGATAGCAGGCTGGCATCTGAGCATCCCCAGGTGCAGCTGAGCCCATGACTAACTCTAACTCACTGATTTGTAGAATGAGTGGCCATGATTTCATTGTCCCCTGATCTTTCAGTGATCCCTAGAAGAAGAACTTGGTGACCTCTAGTAAGGTGAAGGCTCATTCCTACCAATGGGCTAGGTCTGGGGCAAGGGCAATTGATAACCAGGTTCAGCTGAGTCCACATGTGATCCAGGTCTCACATGACCACAGAGGAAGTAGAGTGAGAGATGAGTGAGGAAAGATGAGGTGAGAGCGGGGTTTTTATAAAGGTTCTCAAGAACATTGTTGACTCACAAAGAAGTGACAGAAGAGTGGTGAGGAGTGACAGAATCTCCATCAAGGAGATCCTGGAATTTTAGGCTAAGGAACTGGGCTTTACAATAGCAGATGCCAGGGCTATTTGGAGCAGACCTGAGGGTGTGGTGAGCAGGAGCAGGCCCGAGGGTGTGTGGTGGGAGGCAGTCATGGGGCGTGAAGTCTGCTGGGGCTGTGGCCATGGTGGGCCATCTTGGAAGGAGTTGGCACAATGGGACACCAGGTGCTCCGGAAGCTCCTACCCAAAATGTCCCAAGCAAAAGAGGAGCCTATGGAGTAGCAGGCAAATATAAATCAGAGCTAACCCATGCTGATCAAGGCTCCCTAAATCAAGAACCTGGCAGATTTTCTGGGCAAAAATCAATCTTGCTGTCCCCACAGTAAATACCATAATCCTTTTTCCAGTGTGGTTTAGAGAATGTAACTGCCAAGCCCATGATTTATTTGAAAATATTCTGCCAGGTTACGTGAATGAATGGCAAAGTCAACGTGCTTTGAAAGAGGAGGTCAGAGCACTTACAACGGCGCCAGCCTCCTTGGTGTGGCGGCTCCTCCAGCAGGCGCCAACTTCCACACACGCCTATGGTCGGCCACCGCAGTGAAGAGACACAGAAGCTGAGGGTGGGCCATGCACACATGAGATGGCCCTTCCGAGCCGGTCAAGGACAGCGTGAAAGCAGCCAAGCCAGCCGGCAGGTGACCAGGCTTCTTGGGCCTTCTTTGCATGAAGGCCTTCTTCTTTCCAAGAAATCTCTAGATTCCTCTTCTGTTTTTCTAATTGAAAAGAGTTTCACTGTGTGTATTAGTTCTACAGAATAATAGGCTTCATTTAAACATTTCATACATGTATGTGACATGCTTTGAACCATTTCCATCCCCCATTGCCCATCTTTGCCCTTTATTTTTGCCTCTTCCTCTTTCTTAACAGTCTCCTCTCTCTCTCTCTCTCTCTCTCCCTCCCTCCCTCCCTCCCTCCTTCCTCCCCCTCTAGATTCCACATATGAGAGATAACATGATACTTGTTCGTCTCACCCTGGCTTATTTTGCTTAACTGATGGTCTCCCATTCCATCCAATTTCCTGCAAGTGACATGATTTCATTCTTTATGGCTGAATAATACCCTATATATATAACCCATAATTTCTTTATCCATTCATCAATTCTGCAAAAACTGAAAATAAAGCTATCGCTGGACCCAGCTATACCACTCTTTGCTACATGCTCCAAAGAATGAAAGTCATCATTCTATAGAGATGCCTAGATTTCCCTTTTTTATAATCTTTAAAAATTACTCAACTAACACAAGAAGTTATTCTTGTTATGACCGATGTGAGCCATGCAGAAGTTTCCAGAGCAAAATATCCATCTCTCTTCAATACCTTTCCCCTTGCCGCTCCCTCAACCCCCAATTTCCCCAATTTCTTCTTCCTCCAGAGAAACCACTGTCAAATATGTAGAGACCAGTATACTGCATTCACAAACTCATGACACATGTATGTTTTTCACTTAAATAGGTGTATATATATATATGTATATATATATATACACACACATATACATATATGGGAGGGAGTCTATATATACTATTTTATATATAGCACACACACACAGAAACACACATGGTCCTGGACATACAATGCTTTAGTTTAGCATTTTTCAACTTTTAAATGGTGTGAAAGTGATATGCATCCAATAGAAACTTTACTTGAAATTTTGAATTTTGATCTTTTCTTGGGCTATCAAAATTCTATACAGTAACATTTTGCAACGCTGGGTCATGGCAGTGTGGTGCCGTTGCTCGTCAACCATCACCAGGGGAAACAACCACTATTCTACACCATAACATGCACCCACACTGTGATGCTCCATAGGATAAGTGTATTAAACGCATTTTCATCTATGATATTTTTAACTTACAATGAACTTAGCAGGGCACAGCCACATCATAAGTTGAGAAGCATCCTTATAGTGTTGATGAATTTATATTACTTCCAATATTTTTACCTTCATAATTAATACCACAATATACTTCTTTATGACTAAAATGCATCTAGGCACATACATAGAAGTTTTCTTTTAATGTAAATTCTCAATGAGATAGTGCTGATGACAGTTTTGACAGATTCTACCCAACATCCTTCCAAACACATCTTGCCAGTGAGGTATGTGTTCCCTAGATTATTAGTGATATTTTAACATTTGCTAAATGGATAGGCGGAAGCCTCTCAGGACATGGTGCTCACTTTCCTGCAATTAGTGGTCATGCACATTTCCTCTGTGTATTGTCATTCATGTATCTGGCAACTATTAGGGGATTTGTCTTTTTTTCTGACAGAATTTAGAGACGTTTAGTCTCTACCTTTTGGATATATTACACATATTTCATTTCACATTATTGCTTGTCTCTTAGTCTTGCTGTGGCTTCCCCATTCAGATATTTTAAACTATTTTTACAAATTCAGATCTGTTTTCCCTTGTGGCTTCTGAATGTATTCTGACTTACTTGGGAAGGCTTCTTCCGCAGTAATGTATCACAACTTAGTTCTAGTATTCTCTCCTAAGATTTCAGTGTTTCTTTCTCGCCTTCAGCCCTCGTCTGAAGTTCCTGATCCTCTGTCTCTCTCCTCCCAGGAACCTGCTGTCTCCGCAGGCTAGCACACTGTCCCAGATCTCGCTCAGCACCTTCAGGCTCCAGTGCCCCAGGAGACTCTGCCTTCTGTCTAACTTTCTTCTGTGCTCCTGACTCACAGACCCACCCGTCTCCGTGAATCACAAAGGAAATCAGCACTCAGCAAATGCAGAACTCTTGCTCTTCCTCTTTGGGCCTTGACTTCCTTTCTACACTAAACAAGAGCCTCCATGCTGGGCCTCACACAGCACAGCCCTCTCCTTCACGCTCCCTCCACATCCTGCTGAGAGACTAGCCAGGACCTGTCAGGCCGCCCCTCCTAAACTCTCAGCCCACAGTTCTCTTCCTCCTTCCTCACCGCCATAGCCTCAGTTCCCTCCACTCAGCAGTCACAGCATTCGAGACACAACATGACTATGTCACCTTCATCTTTCCAAACCTATGTTGTCACCACTAACGTGAGGAACAAAATCCTTCCCATACCCAACAAGACTTCGTAGTGTGCAGGCCTGCCTACTTGTCTGGTCTCAATCTCAGTTCTGTGTACCAGCCATCCTGTTCTGTCTGTCTGACCACAGGTCCTTCGCATGGTCTGTTCTCAGCACTTGTTACATTATCTCCTGCTCCACATCCCACATCTGTTCTCCATTAAACCTTATTCCACCTCATTCTCATCACTTCCGTGACTCCACAGATTAGATGACACCTTCATGTTGCATGTTCTCACAGTATCATAAACTTGTTTCCTCCTGATATTTATCCCAGTCTGTTCTGCTTCTAATTCTGTGTTTAAGTATGTGACGCACGTCTGTTTCCCCCACAAGATGGCTCCATGAGGGCAGAGACTGGGTCTATTTGGTTAGGCCCGATGTGTGGCATCAAGTATGCAATCAGTAAGCCTGTGTGGGGAGGACACTTCCCTTTTGACCTTCTGCGTTGCTGCCCGCTCCCTCGGGGGCACCAATGGCAAAGTGAGGCCAGGACTGCCCATGATAACACCTCAAGTGCGGCTGCAACAGACAGAAGCAAACTCATTTCTCTCTGCCAAGAAGCCAGCAATGTCTGATCCAGGTCTTACAGAGTGTGGGGAGGCAGCAAGGAGAGGAAGAATCCAGGGAGGAGAAGGATGGTTCCTTCTTCAGGAGAGATGGCCGTGCAGTGATGAAACACAAGGGCACAGCTCATCTCCCAGCCCACAAGGGAAGCCACAGAGGAAGCTGCGAGTACACGCGCGGCTGGGGGAGGACAGAGGCATCCACAGAGGGCCAGGCAGTTAGTGCTTCTGCAGCAGGCAGCGCCCTCACAGCACAGGGAGAGAATAAGATGCGTGGGTTTGTGACCCACAATGAGTAGAATGAATTCATCGATAGGTGAAGGAAAGAAAGGAGAGTATGAATAAGGGCAGGACCCATGAAGCACTCACCCACTTTCGCCTTCATTAGTGTTAGACAAACATTGTTTAGGAACTTCGGGTCTTTCTATTTTGTTTCTCAGCCATCACACAGGATGTGGTCCTCTCTGTAGGGTCAAAGCTGGTTCAGCTTGTATAGTCTCTCCCTGCACGGCTATGTGTCCAGACTAAATCAGAGAAATGCAATTGCTAAAGGAAATAAGGGGAATAGATACCAGGGCTGAGGGTGAGGGGAGCAACAATTCTCTTCCCAGTGATAATGCTGGAATTGCTAACCAGGTGATCTGACCCATAATAAAGGTAAAAAGAATAATTGGTGAGCATGAAAAAAAAACCTTTTTTCCATAGGAGGGAATGCTAGATCAGATATTGGAAAAAAGTGGAACCCTAAGGAAGAGTGTTCCAGGAGGAAGAACAGAAAACAGAGAGAACCGGAGGCGTGTTTCAGAATTACCAAGAATGAAGAGGAGGGCTGGGATAAAGAGAGGGAAAGAGTGTGGCCAGAGCTGAGGCTGGAGATGACCGAAGCTTGCGCGTGGCTTGCAGTGTGGACGGTGTTGGAGGATATTTTGAGGAAGAAAGTGATAGAGTTCACTTTTTAAATTTTATTTTAAAGAGAAAAAATAAAACACAATTTCATAACAAGATAAAAGAACAGTAACAATGGTTAATACACTGCATATTATTATCTTCAAAGTGGTTACTCAGGGTACAAGATATAGGCATGAAAAAATTGTCCAAACAATATTAGCACAAACCTTTCTTTTTAATGAACTAAGAGAAATTAATAGTATAACTGTCTTAACTATCTTGTACATAAATATATTTTTTCCTTTTCCCTCCTTTTCTCCTTTCCCCCATCCCAGATTCTCTTTCTTCTTGAGAAGTTTGCTCCCATCTTAAAATATCTTGTTACAGCAAGCAAGTCCACCAAGAAAGACACTCACAAGAAAATAAACAAACAAAAAAAAGCATGAATGAACAAAGCTTTATTGGAGCCAGCTGACGGAAAGTCCCTAACCCAGAGTCAAGGAAGATGTCCTTGCCGCACGGGACCTCACCTTTGGTTTTAGTACACTTCAGGTTTCCATAGTAACCATTACTTCATTTTCAGGAATCTCACAAGAACGTAACATAATTAGCACAAAACTTACTTTTCTCCCAGGAGATCAGACAACCAAATTCCAATGACCATAGTGGGTTAGCTTTTAACTTACTTCCCAATCTGTTCTGTTTGTTCTATTCCCAATTTATGGCTCTGGTCTGCTTTTAAGGAAGTTGATAAAGGGACTGGGGTGTGGGGTTGTCAACTACAGCCTAAGTGAACTTTAAGTGACGTCTCTTACTATGAAGTTAAAACCAGAAGAATGATTTCTCTTGCCCTATCAATCTATTGTACATTTTGGGACTTATTTACCCTTTCACCTTCTCACTAAGGAGACAATATGATGTTTACACATGTGGGTCTGGTTTATTTCACTTATGAGTATGCTCTCAAGTTGCATCTATTTACCTTTAAAAGTCTCCAGGTTATCCTTTTTATGGCTGAGTAGTACTCCATTGTGTAAAATGACTACATCTTTTTTATCCATTCCTTGGTTGATGGGCATTTGGGTTGTTTCCAGGATTTAGCTGTTACAAATTGTGCTGCTATAAACATAGTACACATATATCACTGTGGTATCATGTTTTTAATTCTTCTGGAAGATACCCAGAAGAGGAATAGCTGAGTCAAATGGGATCTCTAATCCTAGTTTTTGAGGAATCTTTACATATACAACACAACCAAAGTCCAAAGGACATACAGCAAAAATAGAAGCAGGAGGACAATTCAGGATGACACAGTGAGGTCCAGAGATGGTGGTGGTGAAAACTAATAATTTATTTCACTTATAGCTCATATTATCCCAAATGTTTCAGATGGCAAATTTCAAGAATTCTGTCCAGAAAGAAAACAAACATTATAGTTTCTTTAAAGTCCTTCCAAGTCATGATCTATTTCATTCTTTTGTATTGTCTCATTTTCACCTGTTTTCCTCAGCTTTATATCTTGAACATTTTTCATCCCACAGAAAAGTTGAAACAATGATACAGGAAGTACCTGCATACTGTTCACCTAACTTCACCCATAATTCCTCAACATTTATGATTGTCCTACACCTGGAGTTAGTGTCCAGTGGAGGATTACACATACCCACGCACGCGCGCGCGAGAAAGAGAGAGAGAGAGAGAGAGAGAGAGAGAGAGAGAGAGAGAGAGAGAGAGAGAGAGCATGTGCACTGCACACTTTTCTTAGGCTGACCATTTGAAAATAAGTAGAAGATGTTATGACACATTACTCCTAAATTCTCCACCAGTAATTCAATGCTGCCAACTAATATTAAGCCCATATTTACCTTTTCCCAATCATTACATTTAGGATATGTTTGGGATGTTAATGTAGTTTTAATATAAAGGAAATAGAAGCATAAAAGAGGGTACTAATATCCCAAATAAACAGGCAACTGGTGATGTTTCTTACTGAGAAAGAAAAGACTAAGGCAGAGGTGGATTTCAGCTGGGGACAGAATGGTTGCCATTAGGCAATGCAAACTCTGTTACAGTTTATTGCTCTTTGTATTCTCCATGGTAGCCATTCTGACGGGCAAGATAGAATTTCATTGTGGTTTTGTTTTGCATTTCCTTAATGGTAAAGATATTGAACACTTTTTCATTTATGTATTGCCATTTGTATTTCTCTTAAGAAATAGCTCTTCAATTCATTTGCCCATTTATTGATTGGGCTATTTGACTTTTTTGTATGAAGTTTACGAGCTCTTTATAAAATATTTTAGGTATTAATCTTATCTGAACAATAGTTAGTAAAGATTTTTCTCCCATTCTGTAGACTGTCTCTTTATTCTGTTATTTTTCCCTTGCTGTGCTGAAACTTTTTAATTTGATTCCATATAAATAAATAAATAAATAGGTAGCTTTGTACAAAAGGTCATTCAATCTCCTGTACTGAAAAAAAAAAAAAAAAAGGCAACCCAGGTTTGCTGTTCTGATGGAACTGTTCAGTATCTCAAAATCTTAATCTCTTAATCTATACTTGTGATACCACATTTTGTTTAACTAAATTCACATATGCATATACAAATTAGTACAAGTAAAAACTAGGGAAACCTAAATATAATTGATAGGCTGTATCAGTGTTCATATCTAGTTGTGATATTATACCATAGTTTTGCAAACTAGTACTATAAGAACAATCTAGTTTTTAAAAGGACACTGACTTGACCAATTCTGCATGCTTGTATCTGGTCATCAGAACGACTGATTTGAAGACAACAATATGCAATATAAGAACCATTGTTGAATTCCTACCTCTTGTATGGTGAAGCTCTGTATTGTTTCCAATTTTTTTTATTACTTGTTATTGTCTTTGATTGTTTGATCAATCTTGCTTTCTTTCATCTGGTGGACTGAGCAACTTTGTTGAAGATAACAATATGTAGTGTAGCAACCCTTGTAAATTCCTATCATTTTGTTTTGTGGTCATGTATCATTTTTATTGTTTTTGTGCTGTTTTGGTCTTTATTGTTGTTGTTTTGCTAGTTTTCTTTTCTCAGAATAAAATAAATAAAAAAAGACAGTGAGCAGCTCTCAATCATTTCTTAATATTATATATGAATCTATAATTATCTGAATAAAAATTTCAATTTAAAAAAGATTAAACATACATTTCTCTAATACCTAGCTACTCTACTGCCAAGAGAAGTAAATACCCACATCATCACAATGAGGTATGCGCCACTGTTCATAGCAGGTTTGTTTGAAACATCCCCAAACAGGAAACGGTCCACATCAGGTGAATGGATAACAAACCTTGGTCCATCTATACCTTGGAATATTATCCAACCCTAAAAGGGAATGATCCATAAAACATACTGATCTATGCTACAAAATAGAGGGGGTTTTAAAGCTAAATAAAAGAAGCCAAAAGGAAAACAGAATGCAATCTTCATAATCCCACTACATAAAACTCTAAAAAAATGCTGACTGTTGTGAAAGAAAGCCAATCAGTGGCTACTGCCTGGAGGTGGACAGCACGTAAAGGGATAGGGAGAAACTTCTGGGATGATGGTGTATTTATCATCTCAGTTCTGATGAAGACTTCACAGAGATATACACATACAGATATAAAAATGATAGAGATATAGAGATGGAGACAGGAATAGCTATCTCAGAACTTACCAAGTTGTGCTTTTTATTTTGAACTGATATATAATACTTGTCTATATTTGTAGGGTACAGTGGGATATTGTCTAATATATATACAATGTGTTATGATCCAATCAGGATAATTAGTGTATTCATTGTCTCAAACACTTGTGATATCTTTTTCACTGGGAATGTTCAAAAATCCTTTTCTTTAAATCAGACTCACCTGTGTAAACGTTGTATTGGCTCCCTAGTGTAAGAACCTGAAAAAGCAAATAAAATCTAGAAGGTACAATAGATATTGTGAAAGGGAGAGAAATTGCTCAAAAGGAAAGAACTGGGATGAGGGAAAAGAGAAAAGAAAGAAAATATGCTTATATGCATACACCAGATAGCTAAGATAGTTGTACTACTGAATTCTATTGCTTTATTGAAAAGAACTGTTGACGTGTACTTGTTTGATCATCTTACATGCCTATATTTGTGTATCTGAGTAACCAATTTGAAGATAACAGTATGTAATACAACAACTACTGTTCATTTCCATCACCTTGTTTGAAATTCTGTACCTTTTTTATTGCTTTCATGTTGTTTTATTAATGTCTTTGTGTTTGTTAATTTGTTTTTGTTCTTTTCTCTTTAAAATAAAAAATCCTTTTCTTTTGCTATTTTGAAATAGGTAATAAACTATTACAAATTATAGTCACCCTATGGTGCTATAAAATACTAGAAATGATTCCTCCTGTTTTTGTAATCTAATTTTCCTAATCTACTTTTCTCTATTTTCTTCTGCCTTACACTGCCCAGCTCTGATAGCCACTATTCTGCACCCCACTTTTATGAGACCATCTTACTCAGCTTCCATGTATAACTGAGAACACGCAGTATTTGTCTCTGTGCCTGGCTAATTTCACATAACAAGATGTACTCTAGTTCCACACATATTGCCAAAAACAAGAATATTACATCTTTAATGGCTGACTAACACTCCATTGTGTATGTATGCCATATTTATCCATTCATGTCGATGGACATGGTATTCTTTTTCTTTTTTTTTTTTTTTGACATGGTGTTCTTTATATGTGTCCTGTTTATTATGCCTCCACAAACCCAGAAGTAAAAAGAATAAATTGGTGAGAATATATGAATGAGTGAACAAATTAAGAATAAATGTATAAATTTGGAAGTTGACAAACAAGAAGAGTGACTAATGAATGAATTGGAGATTAATGATAGACAGATGAATGAATGATAGATTGGATGAGAGGAAGAGACAGTGAACACCCAGCAGAGGTAGGCTCATAGCCCCACTCAGTCCCCATCCAAGGCACAAACTTGGCCACACCCCTGAATTTCCATGGAGTTCTTAAATGTGAAACTGAACTTGGTCTGCAGGCCAGGACCTTCAGTTCTCCTTCCACGGCATCCTGGGTTAATTGTCCCTTGCTGAGAAATGCTGTAGGACATTCTAAAATGTCCTGTTAGACCAGAAACCCACAGCAGCCCATAAATCACAGCAAGGAAGCAGGCAAAATTCCCCACCCCTCCGAGGCCTTCCAGAGAATGGCAACCAGTGGGTATGGCCATGAGCATCCTCAGGAAGACCCCAGCATCCCCTAACCCTTAGCTGTCCTGAGCTGAAGGCCAAGGAGCAAATGACCACTGATATGACACCAAACCGAACAACAGTCTGTAATGTCATAGGCACAGCCCAAAGAGAGGATTCTAGAATGAGGAGAAGGATGAGAGCAGCAAACAGCTGATAGGGAGTGTGTGTTTTGGGGGTCATTATCAAAGTAAGAGCAGCAGATGGGAGGTGGGCTTGGGGGCAGAAGTAGCTAGGACATAGTAGCCAACAGCAGAAAGGGGACTTTTGGGGATAGAGAGCAGGACAGATAGAGAGCCACGTTTTACAAAATCCACATAAAGGACAAACTCACAGCATCATCTAAAGCACCTGCCAGGTAGGGGGAGGTGTGGGTCTTCACCTCCCTGATCTCCCTGTGCTCAATGCTTGGAGGGACCTGGGAAAGTTAGAGTGGTTCTGTCTGGGAAAGGAATCCCAGGCTCCTGGGATTCCAGGATTCCTATGCAAGATGCGCCAAAAAGAGCGCTTCTCCATAAACCAACCAGGCGCAAAGCCACACCATTCAAAACTCATGCTCATCCCAGCATTCCAGGAAGCTGTCCCTCTGCCAACTGGTGGGGGTTGAGGGGGTCAGAGAACAGCAGAGGGTGGGTGCCAGAAGCAGAGACCCAGCACAGCAGTCAGGTCTTCTCAGAAACCTTGAGTGGTGAGTGGATCTTGAAAGCTGGGGCCATTGGGGAGGTGACCAAAGGGCTCCTCAGCCTTGGAAGGGCTCTGAGGGTCTCTGAGGGAGAGTGTGAAGTACAGCTGAGGGTCCTACATAGAGACACAACTGAGTCTGGCCATTGTCTCTGTCTCATTACAGAACCTGTAAAACAGACCCAATCCTGGACAGGTTCCCCAGATGCATGTACCCTCTCCACCCTGGAAATACAGCGTTGAGAACTGAAGCTGTCCTTGGAGCAATGAGGATCAACTCAGAGTGCAGGAATCCATGGTTCTGGGAGCCTCAAGCAGAGATCCTGCTTACTCCTGCTCCTACATGCTTCCACACCACCCTGCAAATCTGGAGTCCCAGGCAGCCCATCTTCGCTTGGGACAAACCTGCTGGGAAAAGTTGCCTTCTGCCCAGCTGAAATGTCTCTGATCCCCCCACAGCCACAGCTTCCCAGGAAGCCCTTCAGACACAGCACCACTGGCCACACACCCTGGTTCTTCCTGCAGATCAGCCAGAGAGAGCCCTTTGGTCCCTGGGTGCCTTCTTTCCCTCCTGCGTGGGGAGAGGAGTGTACAAGCAGTCAATGTTTCCATCCTTCTGTGGATGCGCACAGAACAAGATTTGAACCATGGTCAAAGTTCTTCTGTTTATTTACAGATGACCAAATTAGCTTACTATAATAAAAAAGTTTATATAAATAAAAAAGGAACAGAAAATCCTGGAAAAATGCCCTGGGATGTCTCCTGAAATCCAAGGTGAGGTGGAATGTACAAACTATGAGAGGAACCTCTGGAAGTTGAGGTCACCCTGTCCCTACCTCTCTAAGGACTCATGGCTTTGGCTTCCTTTTATATATCTGATATTTCTCTCTCTCCCTCTCCCTTCCCCTCCTCCTCTCCCTTCTTATTTCTTCTCTCTTCCTTCTCCTCTTCCTCCTCCACCTCTTCTTTCTCCTCATCCTTCTTCTTCCTCCTCTTCTCTCTCCCTCTCCTCCTTCCCACTCAGGCTTAAACTAGCCATGATCATTTCAGTGCCAGGAGACCACTTGATGGATGATGGGTTCCCCCAAGCCAAGCATTTATTAGTGCACTCAACCATGTTGAGGTGGACAGCAGCCACATAGGACAGAACTGCCCAGGACCCATGCCTGTGGATACCGGAGAGGGTGATACTCAGGAGAGGAGAGGAGTAAACATTCACACTAGAAGCATCACCACCTCCTGAATATCACTACATCTTCATCCCAGTTCTGAGAGCATGGCAGCCCATCCCAGCCTCTGGCCTTGTGACAGTAGCCCTGGATCTTGGTCTCCTATTTCATGTTCAGACTATTATTATGTCCTGCTGAATAAGTGAGACATGAAAACAACTTTCTATTTCCCTTAAGAGGGCATATCCAGAGCTGGATCCGGCTATAAGGATAAAGTCTTTGCTGGTAGAGTCTGCAGTTAGGACCAGCCCTGGAATGAGGAAAAGGAGAGATGGGTTTGAAAGGCTGAGGGACTGGAAAAGACCCGCAGCTTTGGAGTCAGAGATGAAATACCAAGCTCATCACAGTGCACATAACCTCTCTGGGACTGATAATCCTACCTGTCGTGGAGATAAAACTCAGTAATGGAAAAAAAAGGAAAAAAGAAGAAAACAGCTCAGTAATGGAAGCAAAGTGCCTAACACAGTGTCTGGCCCCTCACCAGCCCTTTGGCCCCTCCAGACATTTACAAGGGTGAAGACATTGCAGACACTAAGGAATCTTCTTGCAGACAGGATGTTACTAAGCAAGCTATTGATCACCCCTATGTTACTGAAAACTTACAGTGCTCTGGCCATTGGGTAGACATTCATGATGTAAAGATGAAGGACATGGCCCCAGGCCTGGGTAAATCTCAGATCTGGGAAATAAAGGGATAAATGGGACAATGGAGGCAGAGCCGTTGTCAGCCCAGGCTCAGAAGCAGGATGCCTTTGGCTCTGCCACTTGCTTATTGCATAGACTTGGGCATGTCCCTTACTCTCTCTGGACTTGTTCCTGATTGATAAAGAGGAGCATAATAGTTGTACCAACCCCAGTGGGTTGTTGGAGGATTAAGTGGATTAATGAAAAAAGAGCTTAAAAGTGTAACAGACACACAGTCAAATGCAGCACATGTGATGATTTAAAAGCTAGGAAGAGAGTTATACATGGGGTCTACGAGGACATCACAGATGATCAGTGAATGCTGTCATGGAGGGAAGAGGTGGCTGAATTGAGCAGAGAGAAGAGACGAATAGAAAGCAACAGAAGCAGGGGGTAGGGTGCCTGATTCTAGACTGAGACCAAGCACCCACAAAAACATGGAAGAAAGTGTCGGGAGCATCACAGGTCCTTCAAAGACCAAGAAGGAGAGTCAAAGATGACATGGGGTGTCTCCTCTGAGCACACACATAAGGACTATTCTGGCCTACGGGACTGAGTACAACCAGTTTGAGACCTGCAACCTACACCCAGACAAAGCACTGACCAGAAAGAGCTGCAGGGAGCTCAGGCAGAAGCAGCAACGAGGACAGAGGTGCTCCCCAGGCAACGCAGTCATGGCCCTTCCCTCTCCTCCTGGAGATGTGTCTGGGCCATTCTGGTGGCTCTGACCATCCCGCTGGGAAATGTTCCTCCTCCCTCCCAGCCACAACCCCCCAAGGGCTCTTGGGAGGTACTCAAATGTGCAACTTTTTATAGTTCCCATTTATTCTGCCAGGGAAATTGGCCCTGGACTGCAGTGGTGCCCAGATATGAATCATAATGTCCACCGGGTGGAGGAAACGCAGCAAGTCAGCACTCCCGGGTGGGGCCTCAGGGTTTTCATTCACAAAGAGATTTTTCAATTTTATTAAAATCAATAAGAGTTTTATTACACTATAAATGAAATAAGGGCTCCTTGCTTCTGGGATAACAAACCATATTGCCTTCACTGCTGGCACGGGAGCCCCTGCCCAGAAGGGACCCTCTTTGGTCAGATGAAAGCCTAGATTCATGCATATAGGAAGGTCGGCCATTTAGGCCTGAACGCACAAGCACCATAGGCAGAGAAATGTGTCTACTGAGCGAGGCATATAATTTCAGCAGTCTCAGAGGATGAGGCAGAAGGATCACAAGCTTGAGCCCAGCCTGAGCAACTTAGTGACTTAGAGAGAGACTGCTCCTCAAATAATAAAAATAAAAAAAGGCTGGCAACATAGTTCAGAGTGAAAGTCCTAGGTCCAATCTCTGGTCCACCCACTGCTTTTCTCAAAAAAAAAGAAACAGGTTTACTGGAAATTTCCAACAGAATGTCAGGACCTATACTTTCTCATGTCCTTACAAGTCTTGAGAAACCCTATGAAAATCACGACAACTTGATGAGGTGAAAATTTTGTGGAAACAAGAGATGGAGACCATCTGAGTGTGGAGATGGGCTCAGAGCTGCAGCTACGGTTCTAAATGAAGGAACCACGCAGTAAGCAAGTTTTCACAGACTACAAATTAAACTGCTGTCCACCTGCCAGTGGATATTTCTTCATACTTATTGTGTACTTATTGTTTATACTTATTGCTCAGAACAATGGGCAGTCAGGTACAATAAACAGATTTTTGGAGAAGAAATAAAAGGAACCAGAGCAGAGGAACGAATCACTATATGCAGGAGAGAAGGGATAAGAGAAATCCCCTCACAGATGCGTGTGCACGCGCACACACACACACACACACACACACACACACGAAACTAAGCACTCTTGAGATGGGTGTATAGGCATGTGGAGGGGTTTCAGAGCCAGCCTGGAGCTCCTGGTACCAAGAGACGTGGGAGTGCAAGGCCCAGGATCTGAATACCTCGACTCTCAATGCTAGCCTAACTCTCCAGGGCAGCTGTAGGCAGTTTGCTCCCTGCTCCTACATGAGCTCCAGCACACATCCCCTGCCCAGGACTTAGAGGAAGTTGAGTTGGTCAAGAATCCCTCCATTGGTCCCAGAAGCCCCTTCATTTGTCTCGGGTTGGAGGCTCAGGTCCCCATGGCTAAGATGCACTGGCAGCTCTGGGAAGCAGGCTGAAGATTAGTAATGTGGGTGCTGCAGTAATCTTTTGTCCGAGAGGACAGCCAGGCCCTGCCACCTGGGGGCCAGTACCACAGAGGTGGCTGGCTAGAGGGCATCAATGCTACTCCAAGTTTCAAGGTAGATGCTTCTGCTGGTATCTAGGGCTCCTGGGAAACTCCTGGACTTGTTGTCCATATCTGGAGGGGGGAATAGACGCTCTTGTTCTCTAGGAGCGGGTAGCGCTCAGGCCCAGGGCACAGGGCATCTAGATTCGCCCAGGGGACATACAGTCGAGCTAGGGAAGAGACTGTGGCAAAGAAAGAGCCTGTTATATGGCTCTCACCATATTTGGAGGATTTCCCCAAAATTCTTAAAATTAAAGCAGCAGCAACTACGAAGATGCCCCGAAATCCCAACCCTAACAAAACTATTTTCATTTTTGTGTATCTCTTTCTTGCCTTCATCCACAGAGACATAACTCTTCCTCTATTGCATTTATTGCATGTCTGTGATTTTGTACAGGTAGAATTTTTTATCCTCTTAATGGTACATGATAAATATTTTCCATGTTTCACAGAGCTTTCATAATCAAATTTAATAGCTGCATAAAATAATGTCGATGCCCTACAATTTACTCAACAATTCCCTTATTACTGAGTAGATAGGTTACTCCCAATTTTTTGCTATTGAATAATGCTGAACAGAACATCATCAAAGGATTAATTTTTTCTTTCCAGAGTTTAACTAACAGGGCTGAAGGACATAAATATTTTCAAGCTCTTCTTACACACTGCTGTTTTAAAGAGTGTTTCTATTTACATCACTTCTAAGAGTAATCAAGTTTGTGTCCCCACTTGAAAAGCCACATCCCACATTCCAACTATGGCATGGTGGCTGGTATAGGTGTGTTTAGGGCTGAAGTATTTTCTGCTACTTTAATAACTATCAAATAGGTCAAGGCTACTTTTTTTCAGTACCTGAGAATGAACATAAGGTCTTCACATCAAGCTACATCCCCAGCTCTTTTTTTATTTTGAGACATTCTCACTAAATTTTCCAGGCTGGGCTCGCACTTGTGATCCTCCTGCCTTAACCACTCAGAGTGCTGGGATTACAGAAGGCACCACCAACGCCTGGCTGAGATGGCTTAATTTTGATTGCTCTGATTGCTAGCAAGGTTACGCACTTTCCCAGGTGTTTGCTAACACACTGGCTTTCCCTTGCGTGAATAGCCTGCCTAAATGTGTTGCCTACTTATCTATTGAGTCGTAATATTTTTCTCTTATGAATTTTAATGAACTCATTGTGGCACAGCTATCATCCCTTTGTGTATCAAAGTTGGGGCAACAGCACTTTTCCATCCAGCATTTCCTCATTTCACTTCATTTTTTTTAAACCAATGTGAGTTTTTATTTGGTTCTTGCTGTCATCCATCAGTCTTCTCCTTGGTGGTTTCTTCTACCACATCAAAGCTGAGAGTGATCTTTCTTTGTAAAGATATTTCATTTTCTGCTAATTTTTCTATTTTTAAAGACATAGTTAGGTCTTTAATTCATCTTAGAATAAAGAGGAGCCCTAAATTAAAGTCTTCAATGCTATGTGGC